AGAAGCCTATCTCAGCATCATCCATTGTGGGATCTCTTAGTCCTCTGGCATACATAATGGTACTCTGGTCTCGTGGGTTGTTGTTAGGGCCCTACTCTTGCACATTTTGAGCTAATTATAAATTCCCCTAATTAGGTCCTTCCTAACACTAGCAGACCCAAAAGGTTCTGGAGCCCCCCCCCCCCCAAAAAAAAATAAAGCTGAGAGACCCTCACTACTTGAAATAAACAACATTGCTTGCAGTGCCTTGGAATAAATAATCCTCTGCTTTCCGTGGCAACCAAGATGTTCCCACACCTTCCCCTCCCCTTCCACTCCTCACTGTTGTTGTTGCTGTTGTATACTTTCAAGTTGTTTCTGACTTATGGCAACCCTAGGTTACCCTGACTTTTTTTAAACAAGATTTGTTCAGAGGAGGTTTGCCTTCACCTTCCTTGGAGACTGAGAGTGTGTGACATGCCCAAGGTCACCCAGTAGGTTTCCATGGCCAAGCAGGGATTCAAACCCTGGTCTCCAGAGTCATAGTCCAATGCTCAAACCACTATACTATGCTAACTTTCAAGCTGGTTCTACAAAGTAAATAATACATTCTGTTGGGGAGAGGACCTTTGCAGACTGCCAGAAATAGTGCAAATTGAGTCCACTTTAAGGGTTAGGGTTAGGGAATCATGGGAATTGGGTTTTTTTCTGAGACATTGAGCCTTCTCTGTCAGAGAGCTCTGGTGCCACAATAAAATACAGTTCCATGATTCCCTAACCCTTAAAGTGGACTCAATTTGCACTATTTCTGGCAGTCTGTAAAGGGCCTAAGAGGGAGATTGTTTTGAACAGCAGGTTACATTTCTCTAGTGTTCAGTTACATTGGTGTTAATCCATTCCATTCCTAGATGTGGGAGTCTTTCTCTCAGCCAAGCTGTTCTAGTTGTACAAACTGTTATACACTTTCTTCATCAGAGTGTGCATACTGAGAGTGGGGGGGACAGCCTGTTAGACTTGGTACTACTGGGCCACGTCAATGCAGACATTCATCTTGCCAGGTGCCCTCGCTAAATGACTTTGATTCAGCTCAAAGTCCCATCTGCCTGTCTGTTAATTCAGAGGACAATGAGCCAGCCCAAGCAAACAAAGAGTGCCTTAATTGCAATGCTGACTTTCCCATTCTGTGGAAAAAAAATAGTGAGGCTAAAATGTGGGAAAGTCCTGGTTTAAAGGTAGTAAAGAGGAAAAAAATAATTTCACCCTTAAGAAGTCAATACAGCCATAGAAAAGCCATGCTTCTAATAAAATGCTGGAGAGAGTTGTGTGCTTTCAAGCCACAAGGCAAACCTATCACAAGGTTTTCTTGGCAAGAGTTTGTTTATTTGTAGGGTGTTTGTCCTTGTCTTCCTCTCAGGCTGAGAGAGTGGGACTAGCACAAGGTCACTCAGTGGGTTTCCATAGCCATGGTCTCCAGAGTCTGCAACACTTAAAACCACTACACCAGATTGGCCCATCTAGAACTGGCAGACACAGTGTATATCCCACTAAGCTGAGGGCATGGAGTCCACCTGTTATTTGTGGTCCCCTGGCCTTCAGCTCCCTGATTTCAGTACCTGCCTGGACTGTGAAAGGCAGAGAGGTTCTCAAGCACCTGCCCAGATACAATGAATGGTTGTGTCTGGGTTACTGCAGGGGTGGGACCCATGTCCACCCCCCAGATGTTGTTAAGCTGCAACTCTCAGCATTCATTATAACTGGCTAAACTGGCTAGGGCTGCTGGGACTAGCAGTCCAATGCCATCTGAGGGGACAACATGATCCCCAACTTATTAGTGAGTCGCATGTGGCTAGAGTGGTCACATATAAAAAGGGAAAAGCTGCTGCATCTTTAAAGTTGTTTAGAACAGGAAATTTCAGCCTGTGGTTTTTCTGACAGGTTTGTTGTTAATTGCTGTTCAGTTAATTTTGAATTATGGTGGCCCTATGAATAACAGACCTCCAATTATTAATTTCATATACGAATTGATTCTGCTGCATTAACTGTTCTTTCAGGACTCAAAATGCTAGCATTGCAGGGAGTGAGAAACTGAAAATAATTAATGCCTAGAACTCTGTTTGCTGCATTTGCCTTTCCTTTATAATGTTGCCTGTGCTTTTTCTTTGGATGCCTAAACCTTATTTCTAAATGCTCAGCTGAAGTTTTTAAGTTGCTCTAACCCTAGAAATGTGGGAACAGAAATATTTAATTGGGGGGCAGAATTCTTATTTTAGAAGGCAATAACCTCGTTTTGATGCAAGTTAGGAACCTTTTTGTACTTTACACCATTTCTTTCATGTTTAAATTCCATTTAAGCAGACGAAAAGTTCTTCCCCTGCACTAGATTAACCAGTATTCTTATTTTCAGAATGACAAAGCTACAGTTACACCAATATTTATGAGGAAAGTGCATTCCGCTTCCAGGAAGCACCCATTCGGTCTCCTCCCTTCCCTAGTATTTGTTTCCTAATTGTGAACATCCAGACCAGTCTCCTCTGCCTGCTGTGGCTTCCTTCCTCCTTTTTGGGCAGACGTGTCCCAACCTGTTAGGTTTGAGAGCCCAAAGAAGCCACAAGCAACCAGCAGTTTGGGAGCAAGCCTGAGCTGTCTATCTGCAATTGGCTGAACTTCCCTGCCTCTGCCCTGGTGCACACAGGGAGAAAGGGTTTTTTTTGTTTTGTTTTGTTTTAAACTTCTGCCTCATTTTGTTATCTAGCTTTTCCTAGTAGGTTCTATAAAAGCTAACCAGGGATAAATAAACAAACATTATCTACCTGGCTGGAAGAATTCAAAGAGCCGTGTTAGTCGGGAAAATCAGTCTGCAAAGGGATCTTGTGGCACTTTTGAGATTAACTGAAAGATAGAAGTTGGTAGTCTGAGCTTTGGTAGACTTCAGCCTACTTCCTCAAATGCATGGGGTGCCTTGTTGGTCAAACAGATATTCCTCCAACAAACCAAGCAATAACCTTTCTTGCATCAGCCCTACATTTCCATATGTTTGATTTCTGCAAGCAAACATCTATAATTTGCCTTTTAAATTTAATCCCAGCTAGCCTGGGTTGTTTTCACCAGCTTCTGTTGCAGTTTGTGTATATTCTGATGCAGGAATTTCTACCTCTTTTCTAACAGAACTGAAATGTATTAAATCATGGCTGTGAAACAGGGGAAGAAAACCAATTTACACAGATATTTTATTCCTATTGGGCTGTTTTATCTTGTTTTAGCATCTATTCTGTCCTGCTGACTTTTTTTTTTAAACAGAATTGTTTGTCCTATTTTTATGAGGCTTACTTCATTTACTATTGTTTGGTGCTCTGCAATCCTTTGTGGTTAAAGATCAGGTCAAAAAATGTTAAATATTAATGAGTAAAACCTGACAGACATAGCTGTCTCCCATTCTGAAGCTGAAAACAGGTTGAACCTGTGGAATGCCTATTTCACACAGCTGTTAAAGACAGTGGAGACCTTCCATCAAAAACAAAAAAAGCGGAGAGTCCTTCAAGCCTATGGAAGTGTGCGTGCGTGTGTTTTTTTTTTTTTTTGCAAAACAAAGATAAGACCAGCAGTTGGAGAACTGTCATGAACAATTAGGTATATACATAGTAAATGCAACAGCAACTTAAATATTGAGAATGTTATGTTTAGGGGGTTCAGATACATTGATGAATGAGACCCTGTATATAAATATTTCAAATTACTTTAAGGTCAAATATGAATTCTTTATAGGCCAATTCCAATGTGAGGAATACAGTGCCTGGAAGTATTAGTGACTGATCCAGAAATAACTATTATTTGTTTTATTTTAATCTCTCTCACAGCTGCGGTTTTTCTCATCATGCCAGAAAAAACTTTTTCCATAGTTTGTGTGTCACGCTGCTCTTAAGGGCCCAGGAGCAGAGCTATTTTAACTCACCTGAGAAAATGCAAGTAAAATAAAGATAAAATTTCATTCTATTTTTTAAAAAAATCTTGCTGTTTGTGGTGTGAACCTCATGGTCATGTTCAATGGTTTTATTTCCAGGCAATTATAAGATTGCAGCTGATGAGTTTCAACCCAGAAAGCTCAGAACAAAGCACCACAGATACCAGTAACTTATTTTCTGCCTATTCTGCCATCTCTTGGTTAGCGCAAGAATCTGTGGGTTCAGATCCCAGTGGTAATATTACACAGAGGCACAAAGGGAGCACTGTCACAACAGTGTAAGCAAAAGTCAAATTTCCAGTTTGTATGATTTAGAACTTAATATTTGATTCTGACCATATTTACCTCGAAGCATGTCCCAATGAGCCTACGGGGCTTACTCCCTATGTGTGCTTTGAATTGCAGCCCTTGTTTCATCTTGCCCATAGCACAGTTCTCTCACATCATCTGTTCCACCTCATCCTTCAGTCATCTAATGTTTCCTCCTATGTACAAGTACTTTGAAATGGCTGGGCATAGATCACTTCTTAAGCTTGTTTGGAGCAGATGTCATTATTGATTCCATCTCCCATAACAGTTGCCCTATTAGATACTTATTGCAATAATGGAGCAATACATGTGTGCCTAAAACACACCAGAAAGGAAAATAAAAAGGCAAACAGGAAGCCTTAATGGAAGGAAATAATTGTTTCTGTCAGTATAATAAACTGCAGTGGATTATCTGCAGGAATTCTGTTCGCATATATTTCCATTGCTTTTGAAGTTGAAAAGAGAGGAATTGATCCCTTTTCTTGGTTGGTACCAGTCTTTACATTGCAAGACGATGCCTGGCAGCATCAAACTGCAGAAGCCTCTGGTGTTGATTAAAGTGGCCTGATCAACATTAAGATGCTGCAAACTGGCACTTACATTAATTGGTAGAAATAATTAGAATAGTGCAGTTTTCATAGCTATTGACTTCCAATCCTTCATTTATCAGCACTATTGTAGATTTACACATACTGTACTCCTCTCATCTTTATTTACCAGTCTGTCTTTGCTGGCCTCTTGTCTTAGCAAACTCTATCCTTTTGGGCTTGTTTTTTGTTGATTTTATTATTTTTCTTCAAACATTAGCTCCTTCCCCTTCGTTCACAGAAGTCAAATCTTTCAGAGGTACATGTTATTACTCTTATTGAACACATATCTTAAGGCAGGGGTAGGCAACCTTTTTGAGCTGGGGGCCAGGTTGCTGTCCCTCAGACAATTGGGGGGCCAAAGCACCAAAAATAAATAAATAAATAATATTAAAAAAATTAAAAAATTTTTTAAAAAATATGCATGCACACTATCTCAGCCCCAGAAAAGCCATGGCAAAACCCTTGTGGAGATTTTGCCAAGAAAACCCCAAGAACAATAATCAATATCATCATGGCAGGAGGTGGGGGGGGCGGCGGCAGCACCAGCCTGGGGCCGGTCCAAGGGCCTCAGGGGGCCGCATCTGGCCCCCGGGCCTTAGGTTGCCTACCCCTGTCTTAAGGCATGTACATGAACAAAAGGTGCTAGTACCTTAATAATAATAATAATAATAATAATTTTTATTTGTATCCCGCCCCTC